AATTGCATTAATGTCAGTAAAATTACCCTAAATACTAATAGCTTCCTAATAGTTCATTTCCACCTATCCGTTTGTTGTAGCTGAACCAGGATGTTGTATGGTAACAAATGAGAGAGGGAAGGTAAGAACATACGTAAGAGAATTTCAGAAATGAAATGTAGTCCGTGTTCTGAAGGAATGACAACTGCTCTAATTCATATCACTTACTTGGTTCAGGAACTGAATAGAAAATACATGTTACTGTATTTCAGATGCAGCTTCAAACTTAGGATAATACCATGTAGAGAAAGTATGAATTTTCTTATTGATGTGCACAGATTAAAAAGTAGCTGTAAAAAACTACCAGCTGAAATTGAGATCAATGGGCTCTTGTTCTCTCAGCTTCCCCAGAGAAAAGTGAAGTCCTGATGAGAAAGAACATTTCAGTGAAAAGGGAGTAACTTCCTTGTGTACAGTACCTACACGTGTTGTGCATTGTTGTCTATACTGGTCACAAATACAAATGGAAAGTCCTGATCCTGCATTCAGGTGTCTGAACTTTGCTTTTACAGTGGGGTTATCAAAAGTTAGAGGGAACCATTCGGATAAGTTGAATTGCACATTTAAGGCCAAGATAGGGAATAATTATCTGAAACATATCCCAGCTCAATTGCTCCACCTTTTGCAGTCTTTGATCTTATCAAAGTGATGTGTTTACCAATAAGATAAATTGGAGAACATATACTTGCATACCAAATATCATTGTGTAAATCTTGGAATCTCCAACACTGATGCTGCTGTATTTCCAGGGGCATTTATGCATTTATTATTAAACTGTTAAATAAAACAGCATACCAGTAGATGCCACTAAAATGCTTCCAGAGGAGGCATTTGCTTCGATTTTAGTGAGATGCTTTGATTGAGTTCAATACTACTTGTAGAAAGTAAGTTGCTGGTTGTTTTTTCTTCCCCTGAATATATGATAATACTTTTCCTATTCTGGGGCACTGTCTGCACAAATCAGGCTGCCTTCTGGGAGAAATGTATTTCCCCATTTTGGATGGAGGCATACTAGTAGGATATATTGCAATTGTTTTGGCGTGGGCTGCTCACATTCTTAACTACAGTGGCTGAAAAAGAGAGACTAGCTCTTCTATCCCTTTTTTCTGATCCCAAGCTAAAGTTTTAGCTAAACCAGCATGATAGTTGTCTCCTGTCCTCTCCAGTTAACTGCCTGTGATATCCTTGTGTGTCTTGTGGTGTCTTTGTTAAGATAACAAAAATATAGCTTAGAGGGAGGAAAGAAAAAAACAAACAGTCTTAATAGCTTTACATTCATCTGACCATGGAAAAATTCTCTGCTGCAAACACAGAAAGGTAGAAATAGCCTCACTGGATCAGAACAGCAGTTAATCTAGCTCAGTGTCCATCTTCCAGCAGTGTCAGTATCTTGTGCCTTTGAGACAAAAATGTTTGGAAGGCAATTACGAAATAGCTTTCACATAACTTTACTCCCAGCCACCCTATAAGAATTCTTTTTATAGTATTTTGTGACTTCTACTTCTCAAAAGGGAATTTTATTTGTAGGCAAACATGTTTTTATAAATGTAAGTACCTGTTAGGATGAAAGCTGTTGTAACAAGGACAAGTTCTGCAAATCCACAGTATACTACTAGAAAACCAGTTGGTTTTTTTAATTTCAGTAGATACAGGCATTAATAATCTCTAAGTCTTAATAACTATTTCTTCTTTGAAAAAAAGCAAGTATGTATTGGTAAGGTTCTATAGAATACTATTGGATGATCAATACAGGAAAATACTGGTTAAACTGAACAGTAATATTTATTTAAAAATCCATAATCACTTATTAAAGAGGATGAGCTGATAATTTAAATACTCAGCTGGGATTCAGGAGTTATTTCAGTTCTTTGCCCTGCTATGGACCTTCTCTTTGACCAGGAGCAATTCTAGTAAGTTTCAGTTCCTCATTTGTACACTGAGAAAAAGAAATTCTCTCTCCATGAGAATATGGAGGAACAAGTCAATTACAGTGTTCACTGGTTGCTTCAGTACTGAAAGAGTTCAAGGACCATGTGATCTCTCAGGATGCCTAATGTTCCTTATGTCATCAGGTCTTCATTACAGGTGAAATGTCTGTCTACAGCATTTTAATGGATCAGAGAGAAGCTATTCAAGAAAGTCTAGGTTTGTCATTCTCTAAGGAGAAAGTAGACAGAAGGTGCACAAGCTCCACCAAGTTTTTTTAGGCTCTCTCTAGGATCCTGTCACACACAAAAGCCTGGCTTGCAAATAAATTTTACATTTTGTTACTCAAACTATTACAATTCTTTGTTATTTCATTAACTCTGTCTTTTTAAGATCCTATCATGTAGCATATTTTTATGAGAAGGAAATGTTTAATTATTAAGTTATATACTGTCATTTAATAATTAAATTATATACTGTGTAATTGGGAAGACAGTATATTGCATAAATAAAACTTATTTAAGATATATGTTCAATATTTAATAAGTTCTGTGGGAGCTGCACTGTTCTCGGGGGTCATTGACTAAGGCCCTTCTACCAAAAGCCATTTCAGGTGCGGTCTAAAAGGGCTGTAGACAAAAAATAAATGAATAAAAATATTTAATCTCTCCCAGGTAGCTCGAAGCTGCTATCCACTACTGTCAGTTCTCTAACCAGTCTGTGTAGCCAGAGATTCAAACCACTTACAGTATTTTGAGCCAAATTCTTTCATGTTGTGAAGGTACCAACTTCACTGAGCCTTCCTCCAGGGGTGTATTTGACTCAAAAGTAAGATGAATTCTGCATTTAGTTTTAGAAAAAAACCACATTTGATAGTAAAGGCTGGAAATTCAATAGTCTGTTCCACAAAACACAGGTGTTGCCAGCAAGAGACACATCTGATCATGAGCCTTTCTCACTGTTAGACAAATGGGAATTAACTCCTGTTGACTGGGAAGAGTAGTAGTTTGTGGAAGCAAAACCATGAAGAAATATTGTGTACCTTTGAACCCAGCTTTCCCTTTACTCTCCGCTCTTCTTTTGCTTTATTCTGTGGAAGTATGTTTACTATACTTCTCTCCCTCTTTTTAGCCATCACAACTCCCCCCCTGCCTTTGTCATTCAGTGTTATCCTATGCTTGTACTCTCAGAGAAAAGTTTTATGTGAAATTCTGACTTCAAAGTCAAGTGACCTTTTCTTTTGCATTCTTCAGTATAGCCACAGCTAGTGGGGCAGAAATGTTTGGATCAGATTAATAGTAATGCTGTTACTAATTAACAGTAACACTGCTTCTGCCTGACCCTCAATTGCCTGCCTCTTGGTCGTGACTGTAATTTCTCACAGAATATTTGGTAACACTAGAATTAAACAAGGCTTCATTCTTTTTCAGGCTGTGACGGTGTTTTAACATTGTTGCATGATTATGGCACTTGGTGTACTAACGCTTCCTCCTCACACCTGCACAGTTTCTAATCCATCCTCCTCTGCCTTGTTTCACCCTGGCTTTCCTGTACCTGGTGTTCAAGTGAACTCATGGCTTGGTTACCTTAAAGATGGTGTTTGGTTTCTCATTGCTTTAGAGTGGTGCACCAATTGATCTTATTGATGCGTTTACTTTCAGGACAGGTTCTTCCATTCTGACCATAATAACATTCTTAGTCAGCCACATCTGAGGGTTATTCCAAATCTACTTCTGGGTTTAAGTCATATATTTTAGGGGTTACATTTGAGTTAGAGGTTTTAAAAATTAGTAGAGAACATGTATGCCCAAACCTTTGCTTATAAAAACTAGACTGTTTTTGTAACTTTATGGGAGCTAAACCAAGGAAATAGTATGTGACTGTACATAATATGTACATGTGCATACATAAGCATAGAAATGTGTTAAATATTACTAATAATGTGGAAAATATTAAGAATAGCTTTCCAAAGTTAATGTAAGACAGTAATTTAAGCCCAACAAATCTGTATAAATAAATGCATGTCCTAATTTACCCAACTGAACCTTCCTTCTGAAAAGTCTTTTGAAAAATAGGGATACATTTGCTTTGTGTTTTGTGATCCTAGATCCCAGTTAAAAATGTTCTTATTTCACATATTTCAACTTTAAAACATCCTGAAATTCCAGCACAATCTTTGAAATGGGAAAGGATGCAACCACCCACTAAATTGCTGAATACTAAGACCATCTCAATTACTAAACTGGATTTCACGCTTCGGTATTTTCATAAAGACTAAAATCCTTTAGCCTTAGACTCCTATGTCTTAACTTCTTACAGTACACGATTGTTTGCACTTAAACTGATTAGTTATTTTTGTAAGCTTGTATGTGTGTTTACAGAATAACAACCTAATTCTTTATCACTGAAATTGGGGCTGACTTACTCTTCACCTCAATGAAGGAATCATTTCACTTATTTCTAATCAGACTTAGATTGAGAAAACTAGCACTTAATTGTGTAGGGTGGAGAATGCTTAAGTGATGCCAAATATATATAATCCTTCTTATATGAGCCTTTGCTAACCATTTAACTGTTTAACACTTCCAAATGTTGGATTCTTGAGGACTGCCCAAATCTGATTATTTTTACCACTTGCAGTTGGTGTCAGACTGCATTCTGCTGAAATATTCTTGACATTTTCTTTTAAGGAGGAACTTACTAAAGTCAAAACTATGCCTGAAATTATATACATACACACAGAAAACGCTTAATTTGGAACTGTTAATTTCCCTTCCTTTTACTTTAATACTGAAACAAAGTTGTTTGCAACTGAGAAGCAGCATACAGTAAACTTGCATATTTGGTGGGTTTCACTTGGAGAGCTGAAGAGGTTTCTTATGAGCAACCACTCTAGGATGCTTTTTGCAACCAAACATTTCTCCTCAACCCATCTTCTTTCTCCCTGGGTTTTGTTTTTGTTGGTGGCTTTTTTTTTTTTTCCACCACTGGCAATACCATTTACTTTATTCATACTGTATCCCCTCCTTTCACAGAGACAAGGAAAATGTTGCTGCAGCATCAGAAAACAGGTAACTTTTGATATGTGTGTTTAGCTTACCTGCTATTTGGAGTTTACCTCTGCTTTCTAAATAATGTTCTTACCTCAAAAACATGGAGTTTGTACACTGTTTGAGCAGATGATGAATGTAGAGGTTTCAGCTACGTGGGTTTGTTAGGCATTTTTTTCCTTCAGAAAGCTCTGTGAGATGGAGCAGGTGGGGATTATATTTCTCAGAACTTACAAACCTAAAAAATAAGAAGCTTTTATCAAATGTTCTTGAAATATTGTCAGTTTGTGATGGAGTTTTAAGAAGAATTTCCAATTTAAGCTTTGTCTAGGTTGTTCGAGGTGTTTTTTAAAAAATAAGATTATCCTTGTGGTATATTAAGAACACTTATATATCAGATTCTTGCGTATCTGGATTGATCCTCAGTGGGTCATGTGGTTCAAAACATAGTATCTCTCCGAATGAGTTCTTCCATTTCAAAGTTGCGCTCTCCCAAAGAATCTCAGCACATTTTGCAGTTACATATAGAAATGTATTTATTTTTATTAGTTCATATACTAAAACACACAAGTACTGAAACAAATACTTCTTGAGTGAATCTGACCAATTGTTTAATGGAGCAAAGAAGTGCCTCTTTCTAGTTTGTCATGGAAAGAATTTTATAGCACTCCTTTCCTGCCTTGTTTATTCTCACCTTTTTCCTTTGGGGTTTTTTGTAAGACAACTCAGATTTGAACAAAGATTGCATACAGTTAAAATCCAAGTGCAAGTGTTAACATTACTTATGACAAGCAATGGCAACTGGCACTTGGAACAGTAGGGAAAATTTAGATTTATTTTTAAATTATGTTGAAAGAATGAAATAAACCCCTTGATTCCTGTATAACATCTAAATATAAATTAAATTGAAAAACAACTAACATGTTGGTAGTTCAATTCCATCAGCAATTTTATTTGTGAAAAGTCACCTACAGGACTATGCAGCTGCTTAACTGAAATATTATTTTCTTTTTCTTTATTTTATCAGGAACAATTTCTGATGTATGACTGGTGTTCATGTCATACTACAATGTCTTAATCTAGCATGGTTTGTCATGCCATAGCTTTTCTCCACCACAATTATCATTCATAGCTCTGCTATGCATTTTGATATTCCTACCAATATGGTTTCCAGATTTTACACAAGGTACTTTTTAATTCTTAAAGCCTTTCATAGAATCATCATAAAATGTTTTGGGTTGGAAGGAACCTTAAAGATCACCTAGTTCCAACCCCCCTGCCATGGGCAGGGACACCTTGCACTAGACCAGGTTGCCCATCCAACCTGGACTTGTGGCTGCCCCATCTTTGGCAGTGTTCAACTTCTCTGGGCAACCTGTGCCAGCACCTCACCACCCCTCAAAGTGAAGAACTTCTTCCTAATATCTAATCTAAACCTCCCCTCCTTCATTTTAAAGCCATTCCTCCTTGTCCTGTCACTACAGGCTCTTGTAATAAGTCTTACTCCAGCTTTTTTCTAGGCTCCCTTTAGGTACTGGAAGCTGCTCTAAGGTCTCCCTGGAGCCTTCTCTTCCCCAGGCTGCACAAACCCAACTTTCTCAGCCTGTCTTCATAGAAGCGCTCCAGCCCTCTGAGCATCTCCATAGCCCTCCTCTGGACTTGATCCAACAGGCCTATGTCCTTCTTATGTTGGGGGCCCCAACTGTCAATATTTGTCATGACTTTGTCTGCAATATCCTGATGATCTCCTATGGTAATAAGGAATTTTGGGGATACAAAAAGAGGACACTGGATATTTAAGATATAAATCTTCTTCCAGGAAACAGAAGACAGAGAAATAGAGTCTTCATTATTAAACCTAGACTTAACTTTTCAATTATGAGGTTCAGCACTTTTGTTTTTATTTGTTTTTCTGAAGGTTTTGCTCCATATAAATAACTGCTGTCTCAAAGGGCCAGACATTATCATTCTAAACTGATGCTGTATTTGGTATGGTAGACTGTAAGCACGTGTATCTCTGAAAACTAAAAATAATCAAACAAACCTTTCTCTATTAAACCACCAGTCTCTTCTGTGGCTTGAATTCTGTCTCTCCCTCAAATACCTGCTATTACCTAAGAAATACTTCATTTACAAATCCCCTTGTAATCTTTGTTACTCAGGCCTACAGGTACTGCACATGCGCCACAGTATGTGACCTCAAGTATTTGGCATCCTCCTAAATCTTGCACCATGGATGCCAAAACTGACAATGCTAAGCCAGTGGCCTCCAAGGGGTCTGTGAGGCTTGGAGCGGGTACAAGCCAGAGGGAGGTCAGTTTCACTACTACTGGCCAGAAAGTCCCTCTTACTTCATCCAGTCATCAAAGGTACACTGTGATGTGTAACTGCATAACTGACCTTGTTTGGAGCTTTGGAGTGGTTTGGTAATAACAACCTCTAACTCCTTCAGATGGAAATGTCCATTGCCTAAAAGGCAGATGATGAAGTTCTACAAATTCCAGTAACTTCTAGTTCATGTGGGCTTTAAGTGGCACTGGGTAAAGATTGCACCTACCATATAGAGACAACAGTCAGTAAGCACCTTCTGCATTGAAATAGCAGCTGATGAAGTTTATTGTATTTCTGCAAACATCCATGTACTCGTATTCAAAGGTCTTCCATGCTGTGTCTTTCTCTAAACACAGTTTATTCTACAAATGCCACAGTAAGCAATAATTTTTGCCTATTCATTTTTATTTTTGCTCACTATATTTTGAATTTTTTTACAAGAGATCTGTTGGAGTATTCAAAATAACTTTAGGATTTACGTAAAGGAGTCAAAGTACTGCTTTAATAATCCACTTGATCATTATTTGCAGAGAAAGTCTCAGAATTTAGGACTTTATTAACTGAAAGAAGTTAATCTGCACTCATTTTTTTTAAATGTTTGAGTGCATTTGTTGCTGTGGTTTCTTATTATGATTGTTAACCTTTATTATTCACTTAACCTCTACTGATCTGTGTTCCTTTTCTTGAGTGAAAATCAGCTGAGGAGAGAGATGTTTGTTTTCATCCACCTAACTTACTCACATTGTGCACTTTATGTTTATCTGTTACCACAAATATGGAGATGTTTGAGAAGATCCATTTCCTTTCATTTTCCTTAAAATACAAAAACCTATAAATATTGAAAGTGTACAGAATAATTATATTAAGAAAAAGCCACAAGGTTCTGTAATGTGTGTAAAAATGAGGCTATTATAATAAATGAACTATTTTATAAGATAGCATTTACATTTATCAGTTCCTAAATTCTTCTGCACCTGAAGGACTAAAAAAACCCCAGATTTAAAATCTAAAATGGGGGCAAGCTAAGGGAATAAAAAGTTAAGTTATTTTCTTTGAACACCTAAATAAAATTATTACAAATATATAGTGGTTAAGGTAAAACCAGTCAAGTTAGTCTCCGTCTTTCTATAAAATTGAGTAGAGAACTAGCTACCAACTGCAAATAATTTCTACAACCAGATCACTCTGATTTTTATGGTTACAACTAATTCATTTATACTTATTGCAATTCCTTGTTCTGTTAATGAATATATTTTACCCTGCAGGAAGGCGATGAAGTCTCTTAACATTTTAATCACATAAAAAAACCATCACAAACAGCATTTGTTGTAATTTCTTTAAATTTTATAAGGTATTCCAGTATTAGTTGCATTTATTTCATCTGTATGTGTTTGTCTAGTTCAAATCTGTTTCCACACAGGTTCATGTCAACATATTGTATAGTATGTGTTTTGCTTAACATTTTGGAGATGGTTACAATGATTAAGTAACTTTACTGTTTTCTTCTGTTCAAGGTATGAAGTCTTTATTCTTTCGAAATCTGTAGCAAATTCCCTTTTACATCAGTGAAAATAAATGCAAAATATGTGAATTCCTAGTTTGTATTTGTTCTCAGGACATATATTGACGTCCTTTTTAATGTGCAGTATAGTTTCAGTTGTTTCCTGTTTGTCAAATCAAAGATATGTAAGTACTAAATTCTAACTCAACACCCTTTTAATGTGAGTATTAAAACTTGGTCACAGACTTGCCTGTGATCCATAGCTGTGATGTATAATATACAGCTATGCTACTATGTAGTCTATGCAATTGATACTGTATTAGCTAAGCAGAAGAATTTGCATCATAATGCTGGTGCATCAAGGTGGAAGAACTGATCTGAATTTCAGATGTATAGCATGATGGGCAAACTTTTGCAGAACTGCTGCAAAACTTTTGGTGTAATGATTTGAAAAGCAGAATTGCGAACAGGACGAGTATTTTCAGGAGCTCACTTGTTACATGTATAATAGAAGATGAAACTCATAAGGAAGAAAGTAACTTCTTTTCTGCTTTTGTCATGGGTTGAATTCCACTTTGAAATTGGTAGGCATAACAACCATGCTTCCATTTCAGCTAATCAAATGGTAAAATACTCAGTTGAAATAAAAGACCATCATTTAGACTGCTAAACCATACAAGAAAGTGAAGGAAAGGAGAACAGGAGAAATGGGACAGTCCCTTGAAGAACAAGGGGTGTCACAAATTCTGAATTACCAAGCAGTCATTCTAGGTCCTCAGGAGTATTAACTTCTCGAATCCATGCTGAGGAGTCTTGAATCCATGCTGAGGAGTATTAACTTCTTGAATCCAAGCCAAAGAAAACGTTAGATAGAATGGCTGAAAGACAGAGGAAATATTTGCACAATATTTTCACATAGGAAAAAAGCTGAGAGGAAGAGTGTTTGAGAGGTAGGGTTTGGCTGAAAAACAGTCATGGAACTCTAAGCTTTCCTCTATTATTTGATACTGTGCTCAGGAAGGAATATTTTGTGTATTCTTTGTACACAGCACAAGAGAATTGCTGAATTTCATCACCATCAATGATCACAAAGGAGTCATTTGTAAGAACTCAGAGATGTGGCAATACACTTACAAGTCTGGACAAAAGAAGTAAAAATATATCCATTATGTTCTTATACCACAGCCTGTGGACAAGACAACTATATTATGTACAGTAATGCCCTGATTATAGGAAAAAAAAAGATTATGATAACTACTGAGGAAGATTACAGCACAAAAACGTCCCTTGTGCCTGGGGGGCACATGCTTATATTGCCTCTGAGGTCTGTGCCTCAAAATAGTATGCAATAATCTGGAAAATCAAATTGCAATTAGTTATTTTTCTGTGGCTTATTTGTTCTATGGATAATTTTAAAAATCCACAGTAAAAGCTTCCTAAACATAAAATAAAGCTTTTGTCTTTTGTTTCTTATTTTTATCTTTCCCATTCCCCTTTTAATTTTAAATGACCTAGTGATTTTTATTAGGTTTACTGGCAAATGAAAAATGAAGGCACATATTATTGTTCTTTTGTTGATATTAATTTTATTGAAACAGTCAGCAAAGAACTTGATTCTTGTAAGTCCACTTAATGATTTTTATCTTTATTTTCTTCATTTGATGTAAGAGCTAGTGGAAGACAGTAAACTGAATGTCCCAAAAGATTGGTTCATTTCTTAGCAGTGGATGGCTTTGACTAAACTGTCTTGCAAAACTCTAATGGATAACTTTGCCCCATTTGTCTGTCTGTAAGAGATGATTAATGCTTTCTAATTTGAGTGAGGCTCTAAGGCTGAAATATGTCAATAAGCACTGGGTGCTCTGATAGCAGGTGAGGAAAGACACTTAGTTCAGTAGGTTACTAGAATAGCCACAGAATTTTTATTATTATTAATTTCAGTTAATCTATTTTGCGATCAAATAAAGGGAGAAATAATTAGACATCAATATTTCTCTACTCCATGTTATCTGTGCCACGGTAACATAGGAGCACCACAAGGATAAAACTCATGCTCATCACTTAAGTGATTTTAAAACTGGTGTAGTAAAATTTTATTCCACATCTTAAATTTGCATAGTCTTCGGTGTATAAAAAAACATCTTATTGTTCGATGGGTTGCCCAGTGTAATGTAAGGTGAATCTGGGTCAGAGATTGACTCCTACTAAACATCTTCCCGCTACCTGTATTGCACAAAGCTGACTGAACCCAACACAAGACTGTGCTGACTGGATTCCTAGACTACCAGAAGTTGCAGGAAACATGCTGATACAGGACTGTGATAATACCCTTTAAATTGCTTTTCTTCACCTAATTAAAAAATTTACTCCTAATATAAGCTTCAGCTCCAGGAGTAAATACTGGATGAAGTTTACCTTAGCTCAGAATTTGTGACAGGCTCTTTGCAACCATTTAAGTATGTATGCCATGTTTCCTACCGCTGGCTTCAGTGGAAGCAGGCCTTAAGTACTGAGTAACACCTGGGATAAACTTCAGTCAAGCAGCACCAAAACTGCATTAGTCTTAACTGCACATCTGAGAAGGCCTAACAAATGTCTTATTTTTTTCTTTTTTTTGCGTAGTTGTGCTTTCCCCTCGGTAACACAGTCTGCTACTATGTTTGTAGGTTCAAACATAGTAGCTCTGCATTTAAATATGCACCTTTTAAGATGCTTCTTGTTTTATTTAATTTAACTCTAATTAGTACCCCTGTTGAGCATGCTCCGGTGTCTACCAGTTCTGCCTCTGCTCCTGCACCACATGCTTCAGCCCATCAGCCTGCTGCTGCTGCTCAAAATACAGCCTGTCTGATGATGCCACCAGCAACCGCCTCAGTAGTGCAAGAGTCTTTCTCATCCTCCTTCCAAAGGTAATGCTTCATTGCTTTGTCCTTTTGGAGATACATCCCTGTATGGCTCTGGAAATGCTGCATACACATTCTTAACTTAAGAATGTAGTATGTAAAAGCTGTAATCTATTTTATATGCTTTCACATATTTTAGTGTGTTTTCTTATTTTGAAGCGCATTGTTCATTTTACAAAAACTTTGCAAAACAAAACTTCCCTAAAAATGTAGCTTTAAGTCTGCAACACAACTTACATTCTCAGAAAGCAAGGCAAGGATTAAAACTAGAACTGTTTTTTCACCACTTGTAATAAAACTAAAGCTCCTCATAATAATTACAGTGAATGAGGGTTCTTGTAATAGTGTTTCTGCAGTATGGCATGAAAAGCAAAATTAGAAAATGTTATTTACTCCTGTGATTCAGCTTACCATATCATAGCAGAAGTCAGTAAAACATGGTCGACAATGAGCAATATGTCAGTAAAACCACACACTTGATGTTTGACTTGCTCTGTAAGGTATTAAGTAATTTCTGTTGGATTTCTCTGCTCTCTTTTCTCTAATGAGATTTAGCCCTAGAGCTAAAGTGAGTTCCAAAGAGGTGTGTATTCAGAACACTTATAGTGCGGGTGTTAGAGTTGTATATTAAAAGCTGTCAAGGCAGTCTGTGAAGAAATGCATGGGGTTTATATTGCTGTCACTTACGTTACAGTAATTTTGGAGATGGTAAGAGTGAATTCCCCCCCCCCCTTATTTTTTTCCACATGAACGTTCCTAAAAGATGTTGCATGCTTTAAAAATCCAAGGAAAAACGCAAGTAGAATTGTAAACTACTTCAAATAATTGAGATCTGACGTGCAGTCTGTCATAGCTTCAATTTGTGTGAATGGGATTGGAAATATTCTCTCGGCTCTATTTCTTGTTTAATTTTTCCAGTTGACTGAAATTATATACATATACAAATCAGTTTCTTCTCACTTTAGTCAGTTTTACTAAACTGTGACCTACCAGACTCCAGTGTTTTTATTTCAGTGCAAGAAAAGCAATCATCCAGCCAGCAAAAGAGGTTCGAATAAGGTATTGTTCTGTACTTTAGGCTGCGCTGTAAGGCACTTTCATGTGAATTAATGATATGTTTTAAATAATTTTTAGCCCACAGTTGAAACTGTAACATGAAGAAAATGGATTGTCTAATACATGCTTCAGAAGTAAATGCCTCTACTAAAGTAATCATGCTGATGACTTAATGTTTTAAATAGGAGAATTGTTTGTCTACTACTACTTTCATATTAAAAAGTCCAGCTCAAATTCAGGCTCAAACATCTTCAGATCTTGCAGATCAAAACATGTATCATTGACAAAAGTCCTGTCCTAAAGTACTGTCTTTCTGAGTAATCAATAGACTCTGGTTTTAAGATTTTTACATGATGTGCATTTTGTCTTGTGTTCTGTAGGAATGTGCTTGATTGTGCTACTCTGTAAGTCTGCAGATATATGCTACAGAAAACCTGTTCCTGTAACTATGCAGCAGTCCTCCTGTATCTGAACTCCAACAAAGCTTGATTCTGATGTCATTGTCTTTGCCCCTCTGAAATTATTTTGTACATGCTTTCATGCTTTTACTGTGTCTTCTGCAGAGTGCCTGCAGCCCCCAGCTCTCTCTCACAGCCTAAGCCTTATCATGGGTCCAAGAACATGTCAGTAGCAGCTTCCACTATTTCATCTGCTATCTCATCTCAGTCTAGGTATATCTGTAAAGCTCTCTTCTTTTAATTTGTTTTTATTCTGTATTACTCTCTGTGATTTAAGGTTTTCACCTTCTTAAGAGATTGGCTTTGGCAGGGACCATTGAAAAGCATGACATGTTTAAAGGAACAGCCTTCTTGCTTATCTCTCACATTAAAACTGAGCTAGGAAACACCTAAGCTTTAAATTTAAGATATGCAACCAAAATAGCCTTTTGGAACAGAGGTGTTTAATTTGGTTGGTTTGTGCTGGTTTTGCCATCCTAACATGGAAATATTTGTCTAGTGACACTGGTAAGAATGACTTTTTTTTTTTCTTGGTGAAAACAGGGTCACAGGAATCACAGACCTTCTTTTATTATGCTTTTCATCATGACTTAACAAAAGACCACTGATAGGCAAAGGTAGCATCACTAGAAAGAGAGAATGCTGCTGTACTGCTTCACTGCTAAGCCTTTTAACTGCTTTCATTAACAGTTTGCCAAGACTAACAGAGGAGAAACCAGTACATTTTAAGATCCGTTATTTGAACACAATCTTCAGAAATAATGGAAAGCTGAATCAGCAATACATTTGAGATTATAATTATCCATGTCTCTCTTATCTTGATATGAAAAGGAGTCATAGAATGGTTTGGGTTGGAAGGGACCTTAAAAAATCACCTGGTTCCAAGTCCTCTGCCATGGATAGGGACACCTTCCAAAGCTATACATCAACAAGTATAATGATCTTTCTCAAGAGTGAAGGATCTTTCTCAGTGAAGATACTTATTCTAAAATGCAATCTAAACCTCCCCTGGTGCAATTTAATGCTGTTTTCTCTTATCCTATGGCTTGTTACTTGGGAGGGTACTCACTGATTTTCAGAAGTAATTCTTACATTGCTTTTTATTCAATACGTGAGGTATGATTAAGCTCATAAATATCACCAGTACTAGTTCATCCACTGTTTGTTTTAATAACAAATCTCTTTTTAGCCAGTTGGAATGATCACTTAATCTCTGTGAGAAGAGGGTTCTACATGGTTGTTGCAGGAGACCATTAAAAGTCTCTTATAACCAGGGAAATCCCTCGCTGCCTAAGCAAAGGTAACTGTGAATATCTGAGCTACAGAAAATACTGTTTTAGGGTTTCTCTCAATTGAGTACTGCAGTGTATCCATCAGTCAGAAGATGAAATTAGATTGAAGCCTTGGTGACTACTCTGGCTGGAGAGAAGATATCTTCATTAGTCTATATTTTTATTAGTCTATATATTAGGACCCATATTAGACTATATATTAGGACCCATATACCTCTCTTGATATTAGAGGTATATTTTCACTTACCTGCGTAAGAGATTGCCTTGGTATTCTACTGCCTTCAGTGAGAATTATATGTGGTAGCTAATAATAGCACTCTAAAGCCTGCATGTAGTAGTAGTTCTGCATGTAGTACTTTTTCTTTCTGCAGTATATGCATATTTCATTGAGATTAGAATTCTTGTCACATAGGATCTTAGTTTTTCTCCTTCAAGAAAAATGATCAGAAAATATAATACTTCATTTTAAAGAACAATTTTTTGGAGGAATGCAGAAAGATAAAATCACAGATGCATTGCATCTATCAGTCTAGGACTCTACTGGTAAAAGCTTAATCAGATTTATTTTATTGCACATCCATGATTAGAAAGGCTTGAGTAAAAAGCATTCTTCTACTCATTGACAATTTCTGAGTATCTTAAATAGGAGGATATAAGGGAAGGGCTAAAGAACACATCATGCTTTCAAAATGTCAAAACTACATATTTTCCAGTTTTAAGAAATATCTTTATTTCAGGCTTGGGGTTGGTGTTTTTTTTTTTTTTAATTATTCTCTGAAGCTGCCTGACTGGGTGAAGAAAAACACAGACTTGAACACTGAGAAAGTTGCTAGTCCATTCTGAATTAGTTATAAAGACCTACCTGGAGTCATCTAAAAACTCTGGAACTCAATATTAATATATGAATCATAGTGTCATGAGCTTTTAAATCAGTCATAAAAGTGGTAGATCTGTAGAAACCTTTCAGAGGCAGTTTATCGTCATAGAAAATCTTTAAAATAAGGCTGCCCAAGTAGGCAGAAGGTATATTTTCACAAAATGGTGTGTGCATTTTTTTTTTAACTGAAGGCTGTGCATTTAAGAAGCTCATAATTCATTTGTATTCATCCCAAAACTAACGATAGACCTTCTGAGTCCCAGAATAGGCATTCTTCATTCTTCATACTGAAGTATGGTAGCTGTGTTAGAATATGTATATACAGAATGTAATGGTTACTTGGGGCAGATTGACAACTGCTGGCATAGCTTTTGGTATAAGAAGTAGATGCAGATATCTGTTATCTGTTGGGATAAATCTACTCTTCCATAAATGACCTTTGTTTTCGTTGCTGTCTTGGAAATGACAGTCAAACAACAGTTATGTATAGTTTACATATAAACAGCTAATAAATTAGTATAAAGATAGCCATTATTTGCTGACACTACTTGCATGTCTGTCTTAGAGCTAATATGATACTATTTCTTGATTTATCCACTTGACTTTAATTTTACATTCTTTTAATGGGGAGAAGGGAAGCAGTGTGTGGCATTGACATTACAAATTGATTTGTAGTTATATATCAATATGAACTAATCAGTGTGAATCACACCTTCAATGAGTAATGAGTATAAAAAGGTCACCTTGAGATATTAAAGTTTACTTCCAATTCAGATGTCTTTTATCTCTTGCATTATTGGCATGAAACATTTTACCTTTTCCTGCCCCTTTGAGAGGAAGCAGGTTGTTTGGGGAGACTCAGTGTCTCCATTCTTTGAAGGTTTTCAAGACATCACTGGATAAGACACTGAGTAACCTGGGCTGACCTTGGACCTGGACTTGCTTTGAGCAGGAGGGAGGTGAGAGTCCTCCTGAGGTCTCATCCAACCTCAGAATTCTGTGAACCTGTGAAAACAACTGTCCATTTCAGAAAGCAATGCCTTAATCAGACTACTAAAAAACTATTGCTCATACCTGGCAATTACTTAAGTCAAAGATGTAAGATCTACTGCGCATCAGCTTTATATGCTGCTGTCCTAATATCTTACTTGCCAATGGATGACACACGATATCATACTGACTTATGCTTTGAGCTGTTCTGAGCTGCCAAATGTTACTGTCTTGGCTGGTGTCTCTCTTGGAAGTTCAGTAATGCAGCAAACCTTGGGACACAAAGGCAAATGAGAAACTTGTCAGACCTGTAAAAAATGTGTTCCGTAATAACTGGATAAAGAAGCAAACCCCATTTGTTTGTTTGGTTTTTTGGAGGGCTGTATTGTAGCTGAAATAGGTTCTTTATTTTTGAGCACTACTTCCATGTTTGTTTTTAAACTGTCACATAGCTAGTGTATTCAAACATAAGGGACTAAAACTGACTTCTAAATGTGTAACTCAAGGCATGCCAAAGTACAGACTTAAAAATCCAGTTTCAGCTTCACATATACCATTGGAGCATTGCAGCATTTGATATGATTTTAGTTCAAAATAAAATATGGATGACCTTAGTTACAACAGTATCCCCACCCTGTAAAACTTGCTCAGATAGAATGAGGCTGAGATTCTACCACCATTGTTTCAGTGTTTGTTGGTTTGATTTTGGTTTTAGTTTGGTTTGGTTTTTCCTTCTAGATACCTTAAAAAGGTCCACCAAGAAAATGTGGGAGGATTTCTTGGTTACAGTCCTTAGGTATTTAAATCTGACTTGAAACTTTGGCAGATCCAATTTCTATAGTGATTTTGCCTTTGTGAACAAGGCCATACACATAACATCTAACGTAAGTAAAATCTGTATAATGTTCCTAAAGAGGAATGATTGAACTAAGTCATTAATCCTTAACTGACCGTGTTACACTTCCTTTTAAATCTGCAATGTTATCTTACTTTTTCACACGCAATCTTACTTACAAAGAGGAAAGCATAGCTGGAGTGTTTTAAATACACTATGAAGCTCTTTATGCAAGTGGTTGTTCCATCTGGAAGATAAAAGCAGGGCAACCACTGAGACAGCACTCTGGGGATACAAAAACAGGAGAAATGATGGAAAGTTACAACTATGGTTCTAAACGGAAGGTGTAGGTTTTGTGGTCCTAGGATTTTAATCCAAGCACTGTGTCTGTGGTAAAGGGAAGAAAATCTCTTCTTCAGAAGCTATGGTAATGACTGATACATATGATAGGCTTCCAGTAATTTTGGCAAATGTGGGCTTTGCCTCTTTGGGATATACTGATGCCATGCAGCCCTGCCCTGCACTGCATTTAGACCAGAGTGGTGTTAATTCTGAATCCTCTTGTTTCTCATATCATACATTATATAGGCTTTTAAGTACTTTCTGTATTTATAGAAAAGAATCATTCATGTTCTGAAACAATGCTGTTTCCCCAAGAAAAAAAAAAAAACTCCCTGTTTCCCTAAGACTCTCTGTAGTAAATAAAGAGGAGAATGGTACAGCAAAGGAAAAGTTTAATGTGATGGCTTCATGTTATTGCTGCAACTATCTTTAGCCTGTCCTTTCTGTGAGGTTGTCCTAGTTGCTTCATAAGCTAGGAAACTTAGGTGATCTTTGGACTTCAGTTCATTCAAGGTTTTCTTTTAAAGTTTGATGCAACTTTAGCTTATGACACTGACAAAAAGAAACTCTTACTTTTTCTGTACTAATACAAATAAATGGTGAATGTGAAAGCAAACAATGCAGTGGTTGATTTAAAATTCAACAACTAAAGAATAGAAAAAGTGAATGAGAATGACTTCGGGAGCAGTACACCCAGCTCATTTATTTATGTTACCATTATTCAGGTTTCGCTGTGATTCCTAGCTTAAATAAGATAAACAAGCAAAATGTAATTTGTAAAGTAATACTGATCTTGTATGATTATAAATATGTCCATGTTGTTTACTTTAGCATGTAAGAGCACCTCTTAAACATAAGGAAATTCACTGTAGGACAAGATATCCCAATTTTCTTGGTATATTTTTTCAAATACAACTTTTGTCTCATTTTAGTTTCAACCGGCATTCTTCCACCTCCATCAACTACCAGTCAAAGAAGAGGTATAAATATGTTTTCTGCAGCTACACTACCTTAAAAGCACTTAACAAAACAGTTTACTGTTGCTAGTAGGCATCTAGTAAAGTGTTAACATAAAAATGATCTGCTTAGAAATATTTACTCTTTCTGACAACTAATCGTTTTCAGAGCCGGTATTTAATTCGCTGCCTGTCACATGTTGTTGGCTACTACAGATAAATTCAGTAAGGGTGCTTTCACTGCTTCTCAAGGTGCCATTGCTCCATTGCTTCCTGTCTCATTAAAGCATCTTTTATCCTTAGGACATCTTTTTATTCTTTTCCTTCTTTCTTTTTTTCTTTTTTATTTCTTCTCTTTCCCTCCTTTCTTTCCCTTCCTTCTTTTCCTTCCTTCTTTCTTTTCATCACATGCATCTTTTCAGCAGAAATTCTGATAAATCTTTTAACTTCACTAAAACACTTAATAATGTAGTATATAATTTTATTTCTCTTTGATAAGCCTTCTGATCTTCCTCACTGTAATTAATACGCATCATACACTTGTAAAATAGTTCAGCAATTGACTTCCTTTAATTTTGCCATGATTTTGGTACTATGAATATGTGGGGGGTTTTATGTGTGGTGTTCTTTGTTTTTTCAACTTTATTTCCCTAAATATAAAAGTGGTGTCATTTTACCATGCTGTTAACTTTGGGAAGCACTTGCATTTTGAATAACCATTTTTCTCATGACAGTCTAAGTGTCAGTCGTCTGGCTCAGAACTTCTTTATGTATTTTGTACATTAAGAGAGCTTGAAATAAGTCTTTCTGCCAGTGGACCTGCACATCTGGGAGTAGTATGCCATTTTCAGATTAAGGCTGTATGACACATGATGTAAAATCTTTTAATCCACATTGTAAATATTGATCACTGATCCTGTAAAGGTAAGTATGTTTTACTGGTTTTCTGTCTTGTTTACCTTGAATAGTAAATTTTAAAATGAGGAAATACTAGACTTTAAAACAAGGAAAAGTCTTTGACAGTATGTGTTTAGCTAAAGGCATTTTGAAAGCTGTGTGTGAAGCCAATGTACCTGAAGTGTACAGCTTCCTGACTGTGCTATGGTATGAGCAATGATCCTCTGTCCAGTGACCCCGAGTACAGTGCAGTCGTATGTACTACAGGTGAGGAGGCACCAACAGGAAAGAGATGGTATGAATGAAAAGTAAAAATTCTTACTGTGCTTAGAATAGCTTTAGTGGTTACAAAATCACAGCATAATTCACAACAGAATTTACGGTGAATACAAACCCACTAGAACATTTTATCTTGGGAGAGTCCTGTTCACTCATGGTACAGTTCACTCATATAGCCCTAAGTCCTAGACTAAGTACAGAAATAATCAGTTGTAGTCATTGTAGTAATAGCTATGTTTGTAGGTCTAACTAAACAGATAAAATAGCCCGAGGCAGTGATGCTATGCAAATTAGATCTATAATATAAGCACTGTCAGAGTAGCAAAATGCTATGTTGTGAGGATAGGTTTGGTTTGCTCAAAATTAAAAATCATTTACATGTGTCAGAATGGGTTTTTTTTTACCAGGACTTGAAGGAATTTGCTAGGTTTGCCATATGTAAAAATTCTCCACATGGCATCTATTTCCACTGCTAAAGAAGGTACAAGTCAAGATGGACCAGTGGTCTTGCAAAGCTGGATGTTTCTTGTGCTGACAACTGTTTTCCTATAGACAAAGCTAATATGGAAATAACTCCTAAGCTGTCAGCACAAATGGATAGGGATTTGATTCATACAGAGGGTGAAACTGAAGGGGAAAACAAAGTAGAAGTATGTTTTCCTGGTGAGTAACAATGATGTTCAACAATGAATGTTTTTTTTTTTTTTATTGCACACATCTCAGTATCTGTTGCTTCCCTCCCTTGTACTTTATTATTTATTTCTTTGTTTATAATGCTCTTTTAGTGGTCTATGAAGCAAAGTCACTACAAATAAAATCATCCTAAGGAACAGGCAAATAGAAGAGGCATGTATTTCAAAGTGTTACTTTGGTCAAACTGAGAATCACTATCTGAGCCATAAGATACAGAAAAACTATTTCTCACTGATGTTTTGAATCCTGAGCAAAAGTTTTTAATCTAAGAATCCATCAAGTGCATCATAATATTGCATATCATGTGCTTTTGGTTTAGCTAAATCTGAACATTAGAAAAATTATTGTAAATTCTGGTTTCAGTTTAAACAGAGAAAAAAGTTAGTTTCAGAAATGTTTTTTTAAAGGTCACTACAATCTTTCTGAAAAACAGTACAATGCTTATAAACAGTAGTTAGTATTTGTAGTAGCAGTAATTGTTCTTAAAACTGATCTTTTTAAGTCAAGGAGATATCCCTCATTGATTTATCTTACAAAAGAACAGGCCTGTTTGTTTATAGAGGGCCAGAAGATCCAAACTTTGTATGCATGTTCCTGAAGTCTGATCCCTTGTTAAACTTAGAATTCCTTTAATAAATTTCTCCTATTCCTTCTGTAAGCTATTTTCTGTGACAACAAGAGCAACTTGGCATTATGCAAAATCCTTATTTGGCTATTTTTTCTTTCCAAAATTTGTCTCAGCGTTTCTTAGCAATGACAACTAATGAATCTCGCTATGTTCTCTCCATAGCTCTCAAGGACAGTTCCTCTCCCAGTGCTTTGGAAGCTGCCAAACCCGTTATTTCAGTAGCAGTAACTTTTGCTGTTTGTGAAGTTGCTCATACCTTCATTTTGCTTTTAGAAACACAAGCCAGTCATATACTCCAATGCCAGTTTCAGGAAGCTATGGTGAAAGCCCTGCTGCTTCTGGTACTTCCAAAATGAGAGTTGTTACTACTGCCAGCATAAAGCCTTCTGTCTACCAGCCAGGTAAGGTGGCTTCAAAGTACTGAGAGGATTCAGAAAAGAAATGCACAAGCTTTTTTTAGAAAATGCAAAGAAAGCACATCTTGCAATAGGACACACAGTAGGAAAGATTTACACATGTGGAACCAAATGGTGCTAGTTAGTAGTTTTGCTTCAGGTTATCTTAAGATCAAGCATTATGTTTTATTTGTATTCTGCTTTGGAGTGAAAATGTGGAACAAACGGAAAAAGAAGAAAAGCAAGGCGGAAATCTGTAATAAAAAATATGTAGCCTGGTTTTTTAAAATAAATCCATTTGTAAAATAACCTAGTGTGCCAAGTTGGGAGCCCAGTTACACTTCAGAGTTGCTAAAACAGCTTAAGAATGCACAGCTCGGGAAGGAAATAAAATAAGTAAAGGTAGCTTGAGTAGGATGGATTTGCAAAATAGCCAGGGGCGAACACTGAACTTCTCAAACTCAGGCTTGTAATTAAAATAAAGTTCGACCTATTAAGGTATTTCTTATGCTATGCTTCTGTTTCCCACATACCTAGTTTCTGAAGGAATATACTTGATTATTCATTCATGTGGAAAATATACTCCTTGATGTTATTTAAATTCCCCTTGTATTAGTGTGTTACCAACAGAGTGAGCTAACACCATCGATGACCAAAATGTGAACCCTCAAAATGAACAAATTAAATGAGGCAGCAATATAAGTCTAAATGCAGGTCTGTTTCAAATTAAGCTTCTCCTGATCTTAGCAAAAGAATTAAAATGTTGATTTATATCTTGATTGTCAAGTAAATATGAAAAGGCCAAGAATTCTAACAAGCTTAAACCCTGTCTTCTGTAATGTTCTATGTCTGGATCTACTGAAAGGAAACCAATGCAGAAATTTTACTCAGACATAAAGCAGACAGGAAGATGGACAGTGGGGTTGAGCGCGCCCTCAGCAAGTTTGCCGATGACACCAAGCTCTGTGGTTCGGTTGATACGCTGGAGGGAAGGAATGCCATCCAGAGGGACCTTGACACGCTTGTGAGGTGGGCTGATGCCAACCTTATGAAGTTTAACCATGCCAAGTGCAAGGTCCTACACCTGGGTCGGAGCAATCCCAGGCACAGCTACAGGCTGGGCAGAGAAGAGATTCAGAGCAGCCCTGCAGGGAAGGACTTGGGGGTGCTGGTCGATGAGAAAATGAACATGAGCTGGCCTCAGTGTGCGCTTGCAGCCCAGAAAGCCAACCATATCCTGGGCTGCATCAAAAGGAGTGTGACCAGCAGATCAAAGGAGGTGATCCTGCCCCTTTATTCTGCTCTTGTGAGACCTCACTTGGAGTATTGTGTCCAGTTCTGGTGTCCTCAACATAAAAAGGACATGGATCTGTTGGAACAAGTCCAGAGGAGGGCCACAAGAATGATCAGGGGACTGGAGCACCTCCCATATGAAGATCAGCTGAGAAAGTTGGGGCTGTTCAGCCTGGAGAAGAGAAGGCTGCGTGGAGACCTCATAGCAGCCTTCCAGTATCTGAAAGGGGGCCTATAGGGATGCTGGGGATGGACTCTTCATTAGGGATTATAGTGGTAGGACAAGGGGTAATGGGTTAAAACTCAAACAGGGGAAGTTTAGATTGGATATAAAGAGGAAATTCTTTCCTGTTAGGGTGGTGAGGCACTGGAATAGGTTGTCCAGGGAGGTTGTGAATGCTCCATCCCTGGCCATGTTCAAGGCCAGGTTGGACGAGGCCTTGGGTGATATGGTTTAGAGCGAGGTGTCCCTGCCCATGGCAGGGGGGTTGCAACTTAGAATAGAATCATAGAATAGTTAGGGCTGGAAAGGATCTTGAGGTCCTTTCCAACCCTAACTATTCTATGATTCTATGATTTTTGTATCTGAGTTACAAAGGTGGAAAATCCTGTTCAGAGTTACCATGAGCTGTTTAAGGGTCTCAAAGTAAATACAAATTTCAGCTTCTCATTTGCTTTTGGTTAAGTGTGTCAGCATATACCATGTTCTCACTGAAGGCAAATATTATTATTTTTGTCTTGCAAAAGAAGGAAAGATGAAGACAGGGTTTATTTCCATAATGCAGAACAGAGCAAACTGTGGCAAGTCAAACTGTCTCCAAAATACACTGATTGCTACCAAGCCCGATGCTCATTTGGGGGAACTATAAACTCCAGTTCTCAGTATGCAAACCTGCCACAGAAATGAATCTGTAGCTGTATCAAATTAGTAGCTGTATCTGCTAAAGAAAAAGCTGGCTGTTGAATTAGACTTGGAATAAGAGGCAATGTTTTTGATCTCTCCTGTGTGGGGCATCTTCTTTGCAATTCCTTATATTGCTGGTTTTGAGTCCTACTGCCAATAAAGGCTTAAAATACAGAGTATGGAAACTGTTCTGTGGCACTATTTATACAGCAAATTTACTTCAGCTGCACATATTGTCTGACTGCATGTGGAAAATTCTTATTTTGCAGGCACTGCATGGATATAGTGTACTTTAGAGGGCAGGAGAAAATTCATAATAATATCTAATGTGATATATTACAAAGACAAAATTCAAATAGCATTAAGAGTGGCAGAGAAAGAAACAGTAAATCTCCCTATATTGTTCAAGACTTTGAAATATCCAATAAGGTTTCTAAAACACCTTTGTAATTGAACCCCAAAATTATTCAGGTATAAAAGAGATTACAGACAAGGATTTTATTGAAGATGTTTGGGGTTTCTGTGGTACATTTTTAAAGTTTTATACATTTGATGTAGCAGCATTTCATTGTTTTGGAAGGTGAGCTGGCCCTCGAAACAGTTGCAGTCCTGAGCAAACAGGAAATTGTCACTTGGGAAGAAATGGAGGAAACGGCATTTCCTGTCACAGATGGGAAAGTTCAATAGTACTTTGAAACAAGCCATCAAGACAGTTATAAAACTTCCTCACTCAGCCTTGTCAATGCACATAAATTCTGTCCAGCAGGATCAATTCAGCCTCAATCTGAGAGACCAGCTGTTCTCAAACTGGTAAATGAGATCACAGAATACCTGGTTTTCTTCCAATCTGAATTCAACCTCAGGCTTTTGCAATAACTATACTCTCACTTATCAAATAATTTCTTAGACTTCTATTTTTCTACATCTACTGTGTGAAAAGTCCAAAATAGTGGAGATTAAGGATTTGCAACATAGAATTTAGAAGAGGAATGTCTTTATTCTAGCTATTTGTGTTGATGGGAATGAAATGACTGGTTTCCTATAAAAAAGTGAACCAGCAACTTCCAGATTAAAACATGCAGCAGCAGTCTCATACATGCAATATCCAGAAACCTGAATCAATCACTAAGAGAATTTACAGGACTATTTTAATTTGTGTCAGTTTGAAAATAAATAAATAAATGGGGCTAAATTTTGTTTATACTGAAAACAATCTTGAAATTGCATTGGTAATTATCTCACTTAAATGGGAGTAATCTCCACTTTAAAGCAAAGAAAGAGTGCTACTTTGACTAATCAATGCAGTAGGAATTGGCTGCTGCTAAAAATCTTTGTTTTCTTCCTACAGGGAAAAATTTGAACTCCAAATTCTTTTCCCTTCAGAACTCGCTTTTAAAAGGAGCATACTTCTTTTCTGAACAAGGTCCACTAGATGGCAGAAAAATACCTGTGTTTCCTTTCTTGTAAGCTTTCTAAGCCTAGAATAGTGCTTCCATACAGTCTAAGCAACTCAAACGCCAGAATTATACTATGAAGTAACATGATACCTAAACGCATCATGCAAATCTTTCCTTTTAAATCCCAAGTCCTAATAGTGCTACTCATATATGTAGAAGTGCTCAAGTGTAAAGGCCTAATCTGCTCTTTTAAAAATTGGTAGAAAAATTCCCAGAGATCTCAAATGAACTTTTCACTCAATCCTTTTGCATCAAGCAAATCTTTCCTTTTAAATCCCAAGTCCTAATAGTGCTACTCATATATGTAGAAGTGCTCAAGTGTAAAGGCCTAATCTGCTCTTTTAAAAATTGGTAGAAAAATTCCCACAGATCTCAAATGAACTTTTCACTCAATCCTGCGTACCTTTAAAACTAAAACAGCAAGTTATGTACCATCTTCCATTTTAAATTCTTCTAAATAAGAATATAGATAACATAGAATCATAGAATGGTTAGAGTTAGAAAGGACCTTAAGATCATGCAGTTGTAACCCCTCTGCCATGGGCAGGGATACCTCACAGTAGACTGTGTCTCCCAAGGCTCCGTCCAGCCTGGCCTTGAACACTACCAGGGATGAAGCATTTGCCACATCTTTGGGCAACCTGTTCCAGTGCCTCACTACCCGCACAGGAAAGAACTTCCACCTTATATCTAATCTGAACTTCCATGTTGTGTTATCCGCTTTATCCGTCATCTGCTATGTACTGGAACAGTATAGAGGAAAATTTGGGGCTTCAAGGATGTGGCCAGTAAGTGTAGAACAATGAAAATCAGTTGTGATTATGAATTACATTTGCTACTGGAAAATTACGAATAACCACTACGTGTTTTACTATCAGAGGAAAACAGAAAAGGGAAATTTTTTTTCACAGTGTGAGCTATTATGTAAGACTAAAGTATTTGATTATATGACTTTATCAAATGCATCTTTGGTAACACACCTTTTGTGGAGGGAAGATATCCATTGACCACAAATGAAGAGCTGATGGGGAGAATTCCAAATTCCCCAGAAGCAAGGAATTGGCTTGCTCCTACTGCTGTTAAAAGAAACCTCTTCTGCCATTCTCTCAAGACAACAATAGTCCCATTCTTTCTTTCCTACTCTAAGAGAGTCTGAGGACTGAGTGAAACAAGGTGATAGAGGCTGGGTTACAGAATTATTGTAAGTATTCAGTTTTGAACAGTCAAGGGTCAGCTCACACAGTACTGATATTTTGATTATCTCTTCTATACCGAATCTTAGCACATTTTAACAGCAAATAGCACCTCTTTATCTGCTGCATGTATATTGGAAGACTTTGAAATACACAAACATACAAGGTGAATTTGTATGGCAGAAGCTATTAAGACGAGAGTTGTTTGAATAAGCTTGGGGTTATAACTCTAAGATAATAGAACTTCCCAGGGAAGCTATGAATGCTCCGTCCCTGGTGGTGCTCAAGGCCAGGTTGGACAGAGCCTTGGGCGACATGATGTAGTGTGAGGTGTCCCTGCCCATGGCAGGCGGGTTGGAACTTGACGATCTTGAGCTCCTATCCAACCCTAACTATTCTATGATTCTATAATAACAACTCCTTCTTAACAACAATATCTAAACTCTCCAAGTTACTGAAACCCTTCTAATACATTGCAATGACACTATTTTAAATAACAGTAATTATTTCCTGCCTGTTCATGGGGAGGAAATATGTCGTAATAAATCCAGCCTGTGAAAACAAATTAGAATGGCTGAAAAGAGAACTCACAGCAGTTACAAACACACAATATTTGTAATTTTGCAATAATTTCCCTGGTATCTTCTTTCAGCAACTGGAAAAAAAAAAAATTCTGCTTTATTTTACTGCAGCAAGTAGAAAAGATAGAGTAAAAAGAAATAGAAGGTAGAGAGAATAAGCACTTCCCCAGTGTTTATCCTTCAAAGGAGTCTAGATTAATCCAAACCCAGATAAATCATATGCTGTCTACAATGGTTGGAAGAAACTAACTGGAAAAATAAAACACTGTCATTGTGGGATTAAGGGAGAAAAAGTGAAAACCTAAGAGGTTGTAAGCATTTATGAAAGACAGTCATAGAAAAAGGTATCCTGAAAGTGGTACCTGGACTGCATTTGTTCTTCACTTCCGGAACTCTGGGTTCGAACATCTCACCATTTTGTTAGGCCCCCTGTGGGATACACTGCTGTTCTTTGCATGAGTAAGAATTGGCTCTTGGGAGAGGGAGAATCCTTTCACAAAACTGAGTGAGCTAGAAGTCACCTTATTTAATTAGAGAGCCTCATAGGTGGGAGCCTTTTGAACTCACCAATTAGAGATGAAATATTGCCTTCTAATTTTGCCTAGCTTAATACCTTAATACATAAATAGCAACAGCCTCAGGATTTAAAGAGATTGCATATAAACTCAGTTCTGAAATCTTTAAACACTGTTTACCATACCCAAGTTAAAAAAGCCTGAAGCTAAGGTGGGATACAGTTTTATGAAGCAGAAATTTTGTTGATAGCGTAGCATAAGAAAATTTTATCAAGAAGATTCATTAGCTTCAACTCTGAACTCAGTAAAAAGAAGAAAATCAGAGATCACTGGGGTGATCACAGTGGATTGATATATATGCAATTTAAGTACCTTTAATTGCCAATAATCAGTATTCTGTGTGGATGGGTGTGGGCTAAGGGAGGAGTGTTAAGTAGAACAGTCTTCTTGCCATTTAATTATGCAGAAAGATCCATGTTACACTCAGAACCTTCTTCGTTGAAATACCTTTATACCTGCAAGCTCCTTAAAACTGTAAACGTTGTATTTGATCATCATTTTATTGGCATTGTGATCTACAAGGTGCAGGGTGTTCGACTAGACTGCGGGAGAACTGACTCCTGTTCCCAAATCTGTGCTCTCTTATTTGGTCAAAACATTTCAACTCTCTAAGCTTCTGTTCCTTCTCACACAAACCAACTATCATTCACTTTATTTTCCTTGCAAAGGACAAACTGCATTTAGTGCTCCTGTACTTGGCAAAGCGAGGCAGTTTCTTGGGCAGTGACTTTAGTCTGACATTTTGAAAAGCGATGGGCAGTGGGAAAGCTTTTTGGTATGTGCAGGCTCTAGCTTCTGCTTATTTTTATGTGATAAAGCTCCACCCAAGATTAGAGCCTGGTGCATACAAACACAGGCAGTCCACTAAGATTTCATGTGATAGTCAAAGGGTGGAAGAAAGGAAGTGTAACATTTCAATTTTATATATAGGAACTGAGGCACAGAGATACTACGCTTTGCTTGAAGTTATACAGGAAGTCTGTGGGAAAGTGAAGAACTGAACAGTGATCAGTCATAACCACAAATCAGGCCTTCCTCTAAGTGCTCTTGGCTTAGTCTTGCTGGTCATGTGAGCTGAACTAGCTCCCTCAATATTGCTTCTAGTGCTCTCTATCTCTGTGTTCCTTGGTGAGTCTGTGTTTGGTGACATCTGTGGCAAATGCCACATTTTAATGAATAGAATGAGATCAAAATTCAAGCATAACTTCTTACTGAAAATTGTGGGGAATTCCATCTGAAATTTTATCGTATGATCTGGCCTATTTTTAACTTGTCTTGAATAGATTATATGGCAGTATTTGAAATTATAACAGAATTGTTATATCCATTCCTACTAGAAAATGAAGATACATCCTTAAAAATGATCTCCATAAAATCTGTAAAAGCCAGCAGACAATGACTTCTGTAATGCATGTGGATTAGAAATCAGTGACTGTGCTGATGTGCTTGGCCTCAGTCCAGAATTAAAGAGCAATATGGGACAGACCATAATTAAATGTCACCTGAAGCTTTTATTTTTTTATGTGTCACTTTTTTATGAGTACAACTGGTAAGTGTTGCTGTTTTGCCATCAAAAGAAAAGACTTTAAAATACTTCTTGCTTTCTTTTGGGATACTTGAAACAGCACCGGCACCAGTTCATTCCTACACCCCTGCCAACGCTGAGCCTGCAAGTCGCCCTCCCTGGGTAACAGATGACTCCTTTTCCCAGAAATTTGCACCTGGAAAAACCACCACCACTGTCACAAAGCACATCCTACCAAGGGGTGCTCCCGTACCATCTCCAGCCTCAACTTCTGCTTACCCATCTCCACTTTCAACTTCTTCCCAAGCTCCTGGCCGAGGAACAGTTCAGAGGGCTGAGCGTTTTCCAGCCAGCAGCCGAACTCCTCTCTGTGGGCACTGTAACAGTATAATTCGGTAAGGTCATGAGGTTTTGAAAAGGGATGAAGCAGGAAAAAATCAGAGACACTGGTTATTGTATATTAATATACAGTACCAGAGCCTAAGACTCAGTTAAATTGCCCAGCAGGGATGTCTGTTTTCTGCTTCATTAATTTAACATTTCCAGAGCTCATTTTGCTATTCTGTGGTTCACTTTTTATCATTGTAAAGTTATACGTGCTAATTGTTTTTTTCTTGGATGCTGTGGCAGATTGCCGTTTGTTTTTTTAAACAAGTTTCTGGTCCTAAGGTACCCTTTGGAGGAAGTACATATAGCTTCATTGGGAGAGTTTGGGGGCTGAGGGGAGGATAATGGAGAGAAAGTGAAGAAGACATCATTTGGAACAGCAGCCAAATGTAATTGTTGCTTTTGTGTCTGGAGAAAGATAATGCCTACGCTCTATTACCAGTGATTCATAGAATGCCTCTCCCTTCTCCTTTCCCAGTTCATTTTGCTGGACCAGCGCCCATTGTTACCCTGTGGACTGCTAACCAACTTTAAGTAATCCATGTTTAATGATAGTCTCCCCGCACTAAAAGGAGCTAGTTTGGTGGTGTGGAACTGCTGATTATTGCCCGTTATATATTCTGAAATTGAAAGATTCCAGGAATAATCACTATATCTAAATACAATCGAGAGTAAATCACCAAAATGAATTTAGTATGTCTTCAGTATAATGAAATGGCAAGCTGTCATCTGGTAGTCTGACATTTCTTGAATATGCCACATGCAGTGCTCTCTCAGATGAAAAGGAGGCAGGAGACTTGAGGAACTATTGTGAGATGTGGGTGTTTTTGTTTGGAAACTTGCCTGCTTTTTCATGCTTTCAAATAGTAGCATTATCTTCTGTGTTACAACCCTTGGCCTTTTCCTGTTGTCTTTGCAGTTCTTTACAAAGGCCACTTACAGCTATGCAGATAGGAAAATGATTTTTCTCATAGCTGTCTGTTAAATCCAATAGATATAACTAAACAATAATGAAAGATTTTAACCAATTGGCAAAGTGCATGATTAATGATCTTGAAAAAGACCATTTCTCCATTTCTGTTCAGGCTTCTGGATCTTATTTTAATGCACTTTCATGGTTTAAGTAGAATGCTATGTATGTGATGTCTAACAAAGTGGGCATGTAATCAGGGTCATTCAATGTTTTTTTTATCTATTAAGATAATTACAATTGTTTACAGGGGTCCTTTCCTGGTAGCCATGGGTCGCTCTTGGCACCCAGAAGAATTCAATTGTGCTTACTGCAAGAAATCCTTGGCTGATATGTGCTTTGTGGAAGAGCAGAATAGTGTGTACTGTGAGCGCTGTTATGAACAGTTCTTTGCACCAACCTGTGCCAGATGCCACACTAAGATCATGGGGGTAAGAGAACAAGCTTAACCCTTTCTCCAACTGCATCATTCATTGAAATAATGAAGTAGTTTAGACTGTAAGTAGTGAATGTAGACATTTAATTATTTCCCCCATTTAATAATAATTTCCCAGTCTGTGATTATTTCAGAATGAAAAACATATTATTTTATAGTAATTTTTATCTGTCGAAAATCTTGGATATTTCTGTACTGTATTCAACTCTTAGAATATGTAATCCAACTACCATCTCACTGAGTGTAAAATAAGTAACACTTCCTGGATAGTTCCTCACTACCTGATACATAGTTACCTTTTTCTATCTTTTCCTTAAGTTTATAGTAAGAGACTTGAACTGGGTTTGGGGTTTTTTTCTTACACAGGACTTAGTCTAAATTTCAACGGAAAAGTCAGTGATCGTAGGAAGGGGCGCATTGCTCTTGCTGCACCTCACTGGCAGCTAGCAACACAGCTGCTGAGAGAAATTCTGTTGACTTCTTATAGTTAAGAAAATACAGAATAAATACAAAGATCTTAATTCCAGAAAGGCAAAACCAGGTGCCAATTTTGTCTTAATGTACTCATGGTTAGGTACAAGTAAATTTGCTATACATATACCTTAGATGGTGACGAGGTTGGAATGCCATAAAATAATTTTAACAAGGTAGTTATGCCTGCAGTTACAGAGAATATATGACATGATTCTCTTAAACAAGGAAACAGTACCACAGTGGTTTTTCACTGTTTATCTGTCACCTTTTGACATCTGTCTAAATGTTAGCATTGACAGACTAGATGCTTTTCTCTCCAATGGCCAATTAGGCATGGCAGCATCAGACATCTATGGTGAAGCTCTGGCTCCAACCAACTCTTGTTTGCTGCTGCAGCAGTAATTTTACAGCAGAGTACTGACTTAACTTACTTAATTAATGCTGGCACAAATTAGTTCCCCGTTACGGATTTTCATCAGGAAAATAACAAAGATGCCAGCTGCCTCTATTTATAGTAATAAGATTTCTCAATCTGTTTTTTGCTTCTTAGGTCAGTGAGGTTCATAAATGGATCCAAACCTATTTATAAGGGATAGTTGTTTGCAAACAGTAACAGAAGTTAATGAATCTCAAATGGTGGCTCTCTCATGATATATATGGCAAACATAAATAAGTCTATTTTGTCTATTCACTCGATGGAAGAGGACTTCAATCCCTTTTGTCATAGCCAATGGAGATTAAAAATAATCTTTAGAAGAGAATAAGAGTCTAAGTATCTAGCTGGAAGCAATGTAAAATAGGATCTAGATTCCCAGCTGGTGTAAATCTATGCTGTTTCACTAAAGTTAATGAAGTTAAATTAATTTGCACCTGTTATGCACCCCTCTGAAAACTGGACTGTTTGGCAGAGATATATTGTTGAACAACATCTTGGGTACAACTAAGATTGAAAAGTTAGCAGAGCTTACTACAGGAGGTTTTGGACTTGGAGGGCTTCTGTGTGACAAGATAGTAATGAAGCAGTCAGTAACAGACATTGATCTATACTGGATAAAAGAAAGAAGCTGATAAAAATCTGGACAGTCAGTTGAAGAGAATATCAGTTGCACAAAATTTGTTTTTCTGTGCTGAGCACATGGCCTAGGAACAGACAACACGGACTCATTTCCACTGATCACACACATTAAAATCTAAGAACCTATTTTTCAGATTATTATTTTTTTTAGATTTTCACATTAGTTTATGAAGCATTCTTCTGAGCAGCTTACAGAAATTAGTACATAATGTAAGTTACTTTGAAACATCAGAATTAAAATATTATCACCTCCATGCATTTCTTGGTCTCAGAAAGAAAATTATGCTTTAAAATGTATTTAACAAATCATACTCTTGCATTGAAGAGTTCATACTAGTCATGTCAAAACAAAGGAGAAAATAATCAGAATCTTTGTGCAGAATCTCTCCTGCAACAATGACTGGGCATGTTGATACAAACAGCTGGCTGAACTATGTTGTTTCATTTTGGCAAATATGTTGTTCCAGAAAGTTTGCAGTCCTATTTCCTCTTTCTCTCCAAAGGAGCCCAATTTCTGTCATACTTCTTTCTTTTGAGGGGGGGGGATTGGGAAAAATTTAGAGCATCTCTGCCCTCTGTTTGTTCTCCAGTAGGTAGCTACAGGACATGTTATTCCACTGGAGATTTCTGTTTGTTTGTTTGCTTTACAGGAAGTGATGCATGCCCTAAGACAGACTTGGCACACAAGTTGCTTTGTCTGTGCAGCTTGTAAGATGCCATTTGGGAATAGCCTCTTTCACATGGAGGATGGGGAACCTTACTGTGAGAAAGGTACGGCAAACTGGACAGTTCTGCTCAGTAATCATGTGCTTCATGTTTTATGGAAGCAACATAAGAATAAAGCAGCTGAACAAAATAAAATCGGTTACCCATCCAGCATGGATTTTGTTTCCACTCTCCACATATACAAGTGTTTTCCTTGTGTTTTCCACTTTACATGATAGACTGGCAGAGCCACTGGTCTTTTGCCTCTATGTCCCAGAATGCTTACCTCATTTCTCCCCTTCACATATTATGATACTTACCTTCCACTTCTCTCCCTGCACTTTTCCCCCTCTCCCCCTCCCTTTCCTGGTAGATTCTGCTCACCAGAAATCTACATGTGACTGGGTGAAAAATTCTTCTTTAGGATTCTGGTAGCTCTTCTAGACAGTATGTGTGGGTTGCTGCCCACATTCTCTGTACTAAAGTTGCTTGAATTATGACTTCTGGTACTGCTGTCTCACCCTAAAACTGATCAACAAACATATATGAAAAGATAGCTCTGTTAGATGTGCAACACATGGTAGTGCAGATTTTTTTTTCTGAGTGTTGCAACAAATGAACTGCTTCTTGCCAGCTAAGAAAGGAAGAGCCTTCCAAACTATGGAAAGTGTAATATAGTTTAATAAATGGCACTTGCCATGCAAATGAGTTGCATGACATGGTCAGGAAGCGGGTTAAGGTTTAAGTGATATTCCCACTGCTAGCCCTGTGTTGTCTATCTAATCAGCTTCTGGCCTCTTCCTCTCTGGAGATTCCTTCCTTATGGTTGTGCAAATCAAATTTTACAAATCAGAGTAACTCTCAGTGAAGAATGAAAACCATACAGCATGACTGACTTGGCACCTACCCATTAGAATCAGAGGGCTTGCCATAACCTCTAGTGACTCATGAATTCCATATACCTTTTGAATTTCTGCTGATCTTTTTCAATGCCAAATCTTTCAGACTGCAGTTGATATTCAAAGTAAAGATGTATTAACCATCCAGTATGGGGTTTCCACACTATTCTCTCTTATTGCAGAGAAAACATAAATCCAGTCACAGAAACTTACATTATGCTTCTATACCACCCTTAAATGGTATTAATTGTGGCCATTAAATTGTGTTTTGTGTGACTGTATTTGCCCTTATTAATAGCTTCCTCATGCATTAACTTAAAACTGGGAGAAACATAACTTTGTATTTCATGATTTTTTTTGTTTCCAGTGCTTGTGATGACAGCTGTCATGCTGATGTGGGCTTTTGCACTGAGTTAGTATTTAAGTAATGAAAGAAAAGAAAAGAAACAGATTTCAGTGTGTTTCAGTGAATGTAGGAAGAAACTGAGCAAAAAACAATAAAAAATTGATCCTCTGGAAGCTTTCTATTTCTCTTGGATTTAATACAATTATGTTAAGAGCTTGTTCTAAGTTTGCTTTTTGTTTTATTTTAGATTATATTGCTTTGTTCAGCACAAAATGCCATGGCTGTGATTTTCCTGTTGAAGCTGGAGATAAATTCATCGAAGCACTTGGACACACTTGGCATGATACCTGCTTCATTTGTGCTGTAGGTTCTATACCAAATACTATCTCATTTCTTTATAAATTGTGAAGTAACATCAGAAGACCTGAAAGCAAGAATGACTAACATATGACTAAGAATGCAGAGGGATTGAATTTCATTTTTTACTTGCAGATGGAGGATGGGAATCATTTTCTCCTCCATAAACTTTTACTAGAATTATTATATTTGACCATCACAACTGAGTGCTTTCTAATAAATAATCCAGTTTTAGAGAGTACATACAGTAATATATACCAGTATTGCTGTTCCTCTTTCCAGTGTTTACCGAATAAAGATAAAGCAGGATTTAAAATAAATTAACACCATACCCAACAGTATAGCCACAATTTTACTTACAAAGCAGTGCAGTTCATACTTCCATGCAAAATGCTTGTTGAAACTTGTAAAAAGAAGTCTGCTTAGTGAGAATGAATAGTAATTAGCATAGAAGTTGGTCAAACTCATCAATCTGTGGTGTATGTACAGCTATGTAGTGTGGCCAAATTCCCACACTCTGCACACAAAATAGTAAAATCCATATGACAAACAGTACTCTTCATATGGTTCTAACACAGCTGTGCTACTCTGCAATGTATCATTCCTAAGGTAATAATATCTAGAGCCTCTAATTAACTAAAAATAGTATGCTGGCCACGCCAAAAATAACAGTGACAATTTGTAATGTTGGTTAACTTTAAAATTTAGCTTCAAGAGTAGAAAGTATAAAAATGTTTATAAATATCTTAAAGCTAAATGAGCTACTGGTCTCTTAAGGTACATGGAAGTGAGTGACAGAAAAAAATTCCTTTGAAAACTGAAGTCTTTTTGAAACTCTAACATAGAAAGGAATACTAAGACAGTGAGTTTCCTTCCCAAATTAACAGCTATTAGTCACTTATAAGAGACATTTTCTCTGAGTATTTCATGTTCTTTTTTGTAAGTTCATTTAACTGCATTCTTATGTATTTATTTAAATTGGCAACCCAATTTTCTGTGGAGGCGATAGTTTTGTTAATGCAGTTCTCACAGCATTTTTTTGTTAGGCACTAACTTAATTTCTTTCAGAGGGTTAAGTCAAATGCAAATAAACACATAACTCTTAATTTCTAGCATGCTATCCCCATATCTTTTCACATGATTTTTCTTCCACTTGCAGAAGTACATCACTGATGTCACTCACTGGTCTTAAGCCTGCCATAAGCATTATGCACAACATTTATTCTTATTCCTAGTTTCTCATGTATGGACTTTCTTAAGTGATTCTAGTCAACTCTGACCTTGCAAGCGGTGTTGCAGTACCCTGTGTAGATACCTATACAATTCAAAGGTTGTTTAAGCTTATCTAAGCCTGGGCTGCCCTGCCTGGGCCATGCATTCTCAAGTGCTTTGTTATGTCAACACCAGCACTTCAGCAGCCAGGCAGAGAACTCTTATCAGTTCAAGAATAACCTGGTAAGAATAAGTAATTAGTTTTCAGTGATACTGGGTGTCCAAATGACTCACATCTTGATCTCATAAGCACCCATACTAAGACAAAGTAATAACAGGAATGAGTATCTAATGGTACCATGGAAGGATGGTACCTCTGGGACCATGACACCTAACCAGAGCTTTTGAAAAATCATACATGAAAAGATAAGAAGCTAGGTCTTAGATGAGCTAGCTGCATGTGCTTGAGTGTTTCACTCTCCTTTGACAGTCTGCACAAACACTACTGGGACATGCTGGAGCTGCCGGGGGGATTGTGTGCCCTTTTTTAATAGAAACTAGTGAATTTAGTGGTTAGTGATGGCAAGAAAGTAGAGAGAGAGCAGAAGAAAAGCAGATGCAAACCAGAGCCTAACCTTAACATGGAGTAGGAAAACTACCAAGGCATGCACTTTGATCCTGGAAATCAGATGCACTTCTGCCAAAGGAATGTGTAGGCAGAAGAGAAATACAGTTGTAATAATCATGTCTTTCTCCCTCTCTCTCTCTTTTTTCTTCCTTTTTTTTTTAATAATTCCTGATTGTATTTATTATTAATTCTAGGTATGCCATGTGAATTTGGAAGGTCAGCCATTCTACTCCAAGAAGGATAAGCCACTGTGCAAGAAGCATGCCCACGCCATCAATGTTTAAATGGAGTTGGTAGTTAGTAATGCTGAAAAAAACCCAGATGGCTAACTGGGCAGTTATAAAGTTGATAACCATGGCTAGCATTTCTTTTGGTAAAATCTAGGAAGTTGGTGCTTCTGAAGTTTAACCTCTTTTGTAAAAGCAGGACATGCTTTTGGAAGGTTCCTACAGAAACCTACTGAATGAATAATCAAAGCATATGAACTAGAGCAACAGTTGGGGAAAAATAATGCAATTAACTAAAAACTGGAATATAAAAAGTAATATGCAAATACAATTTCAAATTAATTACCCACAGCAGTTTTATTCCTTAGACCACACACTAGTGTTTAAGAACAACTGGAAAAGACCTTTTGTAATAAGCCATTTTCTTTCATAACAAGAATGAGTAAGTGCCACATGTACAATAAACTGTAGAAACAAAGGCCATAGGTTTCCAACGAAAATAAATAGATTAGGGTTTCCTCTATGAAAAGTGAGTGCTATTCCATTATGTTGTGGTGCCACCTCATAGCATCAAACATTTTAGATTCTTTATAAATATGAATTCTGCCTTGAAATCCATATGTAGTTGAGAAGCCTAGGAGATAAACCATAACTTAGTTTGAAAATAAAGTGGAAACAGAATAATTCCTTCCATAGCCCAGTAAGACTGAGAAAAGCACGTTGGGTCCATCTTACTAGCACTTGGCTTATACATGCACAATAGATTAGTTCATTTTCAAATCCTCATCGAAAAGGACAACTGACTTTCTCCAAATTACTCCTACATTGAATGGAATAGAACTGGCTGGAAAGGCCAGCTTTTAATTCAAAACCAGTTTTCCTTTCCTGTTGCTTTGGTTTCTAATTCCCATTGGTATCAGTGGGAAGTAGGAATCTATGTATGGACCTTCATGTTGATGAACACAGAAAACAAGCATCCATCTAGCACAGCTAGGAAGTGGGAGATAGCTCACAAAAGTTCCCTACTGTGTCCCATATAGTTAGAAAAAGGGTATCTTTTTCTTTTTTCCCTAAATTAATGTCGATTAAAAATTCCTAAGGGAGCATAATGGGCACACACTCTTCATCACTTTTACTAGTTTAAATGTGACACATCCTGAATTGTCGTAGTTATTTGCCACTGTAAAACAGTAGATAGTATCTGACAATGAGGATAACCATGAAGTCATCTTTTCTAATACTTTTAAAACAACTTTGAAGTTGTCCGAACAGTTATTTATAAATTTTTATTTTTTTTTAAAGAGCAATACTTGTACTACTGATAATACTTCTGAATTTTGAATTCTAAATATCAGTGACTTTTGTATTGGAGATAGCAGTCTAAGTTAAAATGGAAGGGCTGATCGCTACTCAAGTTTTATTTATTTCTTTAAGTGAGAATTATGATGCGTGTACTGACAGCCTGCAGCATTTTGAATTCACTAATTTTGGATTAGTGTTTCTGAGGCTGAGGATGCATTCTATGGGCCACATTCTGGTGCCATCTACACCCTATTTTACTTTTTTTGAGTAACAAGAAATTGCAGAGCATTGTCTGCCTTTTCCCTCCTATGGGTAATGCCCATTTTAAGGAAATGGTTGAGTCTTTAAAGGGATTAAGAACTACCCAAAGCTTGGGGGCAGAAGAATAAAAGAAATTTGGAGCTCTAGTATGAGAGTTATGTTAGTTGCAAGCAGTCTGCATCTTGGACAAAAATAACAACCTGAACTGCCTGTGGCAGTTTTGATATGTATTACCTGTAATTTATTCAGTGGGTATCTTGGTACCTTAGTTCTCATTGATCTTAGCAGTGATCTGATCTGAGTGCTACAGGGTTAGATTTTTGTGTGCATGAATTATTCTAAACCACTAGTACATTATATGCAAAGCCCTTTTTTTAATATAACAAGCAAATTTTCTGTTTTCAGTTGGTGCTGGGCTGGTGTGACTATGGTTCCATTGATCACAAAATCCAAAGATCTAGCTCGTAATATTCTCTAGAGGAATAAATTGTAATCATGGAAGTATTTTTTTCACTCATATTTGACTTCATTGAATACTTTTTCATAACAGTGAGACAATTCCAGATTTCCTTTTAATTTTTTGGCTGTAATTCAACAAAATGGTGTTTATTATTCTCTGTTATGTAAGAAAATGCACATCAGCATTTTATATATTAAGACTGCATTGAAGATTTCTGTGTTACCCACTGACTAGGACTAGTCTCTGACTATGAGCATCGAACAGGGAGTCAGGCTCCTTGGGTGGACACAAAATGCTAAGACTTGTGATGCCTCAGAATGTCATGTGTGAAATTTCATTAATTTTAATCTGCATGTGTGTATATGTGTGTCTCTCTCCACCTTCCCCCTCAAAGTCCTAAAAGCTCTCTCTTCACTGGTGGTGTAAAGGAAGCATTTTAGGAGATGACCAGAGATGGAGGTATGCAGCTTAGGCAGGGGTACAGTCTGTGAGGAGATGGTGGTAGGCAGCACACCTGGGATTGCCTCCATGTTCATGTGGGAGCCCAGATTGCCAGCTGAAGTGGTCCAGGTCAGCCTGTGAGCTGCTGCAGTGGACAGGGGTGTGGGAGGCAAGAATCTTAAGTGTGGGCAGGGGAAGGGGGGCTTAGATCAAATAAAGGAGAGCACCTGTGGCAGCCAGAATGTAGGGGCTCTGGGGGCCCCTGGTCGAGTGTGAAAAGATGACACATTGAGGAGACTGGAAGCCCTTAGTGAAGCTGATGTCAGAGGAGGGGGAATAGCTAGGTAAGGCCAGTTTCACTAAGTTGACATGTTAGATAGTTGGGGTGGGGCAGAGGGGTTTAGAGGGTAATAGCCAGGGTGACTGACTGCAGTCAGGGAAAGGGCTTGAAGCAAGAAATTAGGGCACAAGTAGCTTGCAAGTTACTTGTAAGCTTGTAAGCAAAGTAAACTTACAAGCTTACAGCCCAGAGAGATAATATGCTTACAGAAAGGGTGAGCAAGGGAAATACAGGATCCAATCTAGTAAATTCGAGGTCAGTACAGCAGAAAGGTGAATGCAATGTCTGTAAGTGTAGCTGAGCTAGCTTGCAGTGTGGCAACAGTGAAAATGCAGCAGCACTGACTTCAATGGGAACCGTACTAGCTTGAGAGAGTCCTGAAAATTTCCTTGGGCAGATAACCTGCATTGTAATACATGCCCTGACTCCAGCTGGTGTCTGAGCAAGTGAGATTAAAGCTAGTTTACATATCACTATATGAGGTACACTGGTATCTCTGAATGAAGAACAGAGATACCCTGAGGATTATCATGTAATAAATTTCCTGTTTTGACTTGTGCTGCTTCATAATATGGTCCAAAAAATAGGGAATCCACTTACCTGCCCTTGATATCTATATTACGATATAACTTTTGCACATATCTGAACCAGAAATTTGTGAAGAATAATGTAGTATTTTGACTTTCACAGGGGTAGAATACTGCTGACACTCTTTTGTCACGTCACCTTTGTGATATGGAGGGGGAAAGATGCATAGACATATGTAATTCAGAATAGGGCCTTTCAACTATCACTGAATGTACACTCTGTACAAAAATAAGCAAGATGAATAATGTATACTTGTTTACGGGTTAGGTCTTGTAATAGATGCCAGGGACAAGTTCTAAGTTCCTCTAAATATTTCTTTTCATTCAAATTAAGGTCAGGTTTTACATAATAAAGATACTGTACCCCTGAATGACCAAATAAAAAGACCAGTCTTTTATCTAATTAAAAAATGTTCAATAACTTTTCAGTCAAATTCTGCAAAAATGGTCTTAATGCTTTTTCTTCTGTTCTTTTTGAGGAACAGGGTAAATAAAATGTTTCCAAAGAAGACTGCTTTTATTACCTGAAAAATAACCCCACTCATTATTTTTTCTTTTTAGAAGTTAGTTTTTACTACATTGGGTTTACGCATTACACATTTCTAAAATCAGTTCAAAACAAGGAAAAAATATTTTCTTTTGGTCCTTCAGTGGTCAGTACTTTTGGTGAAATGTTTTTTTAAAGACTATTTGTATTTATGTTTAATAATGTGAAAGTCCACTGCACTGAATACACTCATTAGTGTCTACTGCTGGGCACCCTAACGTTTATTTGTAGCACTTGTCTCCTGGTAGCAGATCTTAATTTCTTTAGTGTTTATAAACACCAGAATTTGAAAATGAGTGGTTTCTTGCCTGCAGTGATCATATTAGAAGTCTAGGTTTTATAATATATTGACATGTTGACTTGATGCCACAAGTGCCCTTGCTTTTAGATGCATTTATTTTTCCTAAGTTCCTAGTTATTTCAGAAACAGAATGTAGTGTGGTTTATGAGGTGTGAGTAACTACCTTGCATGGATTACCTGTGCCAACATGAATAAAAGTCTAGTATTAAAAGCAATGTGCAAATACAGTTAAAGCTTTATGATTTGGGCATATTTATTAATATGGCATGTGAACAGCTGGCAGCTTTCAGCCATGTAATACTGATAAGAAAGCATACACAAGCTTGTTCTCTCTACTTTGGACCTGAAAATAAAAAATAAAAGCACTGGTTTCAAATTTGTCATGTATCAATCTTGAATTTTTTGTTATTCAGATAATACTGTTTTAAACAAATGCTGATGATTGGAGGGCTGGAGCACCTCTTCTGTGAAGGCAGGATGAGAGAATTGGGCTTGTTCAGCCTGGAGAAGGTTCTGGGGAGGCCTTAGAGCAGCTTCCAGTGCCTAAAAGGGGCCTACATGAAATCTGGAGGGTGACTTGCTACAAGGGCATTTAGTAATAGGACAAGGGGGAATGGCTTCGAACTGGAAGAGTGTAGGTTTAGATTAGATACAAGGAAGAAGTTCTTCACTGTGAGGGTGGTGAGGCACTGGAACAGGTTGCTCAAAGTATTTGTGGCTGCCCCATCCCTGGCAGTGTTCAAGGCCAAGCTGGATGGGGCTCTGAGCAACCTGGTTTAGTGGAAGGTTTCCCTGCCCATGCAGGGGGTCTGAACTGGATGATATTTAAGGTCCCTTCCAACCCAAACCATTCTGTGATTATATGATGGTGTTAGTCTGCTTAAAAAAATGTAGTGTACTAACAGTACATGTTGTAACTTAGCAAGGCTTGTATAGTCGTAGACCTTATTGTGTCAACAAATACTGTTTATAGTAACTTTTATCAGGAATGGGTAAATTCTGTCTTAGGTTACATTGATGCATCTGAGAACAGTTTGATTGCATACGTTCAGGTGAGTGTTCTTCCACTTCTTAGCAGAAGTGACTTAATACACAAAAAGCTTTAAACATCTTCATTGAGCTCTAGTGCTGAGAAATACTTCCAAATGAAAGAATAGCTTTGTTATAACTGTGTGGTTTATAAAAACACCCATTTTGAGCATTCCTAATGCACACCCCTCAGGAATGCAGGATTTTTAAAGATATAAGTAATTATATTAAACCTAATTAAGAAGTTAGATAATAAATGGACAGACTTGGCTTTAGATAGCATTACAAAGTACAGCATCAGTAATCACAACTTTGTGCACTTTGATTTTATTTTACAGCCCTAATTTCTGTTTACAATGTGCGCAAGGAAAAACACAAATCAAAAGAATGACCAGAACATCTGCAGTTTTCTGACAGTTTGCAATTGCTGGTTTTCAGATTGTCCGTTCTGACCTTTGACCTTTGCACAAGACAGTGATCCCTAAACTGTGCACTGTGATCCCCAGAGAGTACAGCTGTTTGAAGTGGAAGCAATAGAGGCAAAAGCATAGCACTGTGCCAGCTAAAGGGTGCAGAAAGTGTATAGAGCAAAGTTCGCTAGAAAAGGACACAGTGCAAAATAGTTTGACAAGAGTTGCAGTAAAAGGTTCTTAATAGAACTGAGATGATGGTTTGCTCCAAAAAAAAGTGGTGATTTCAAATCTACAGGCTTTGGCATTGTTTCCCTGTCCAGTCCCGTCTGCCCTCCCACACCCCCCCATCATGAATCTTAAATTCAGCCAGTTTCTGTTGATTAAGAAAGGAAGGAATGTGTGAATAAGATTGCTGAAACCATTATTGAATACACAATGAAATGCTTTGTTCTCCCAGCCAAATCAGAGTTATGGATGAGATTCAGATTATATTTAGACATAAATTCTGTGCTGTATGCCTATAAAACATGCCTTGGATTGCTGTTAAAAATACAGTTCCTCCTCCTTTTAGGAAGATTACATCAAAAGAAAACAGTAACAAATGTGTTGTACTAATAAGGACTGTCAGACTGAGTCACAAGACTTTTCTGTGTAATAAGGAGAAGCGGAATGAAATTTTTTTGAAGGAAGCTAAACTTCTGAACAAAACGTTTTTTCTTGAAAAGTTTCTAGATTTTAACTGTTAAGGGAATAATAAATTAGTATGCATCAGTATCATTGATAAATCTGCCTCCACCTCAAAAGTATTTTATAATCTTACTACTTTAGAAATCAGATTATTTTCATTCATGACAAAGACGTTATGGAAATTTTTCTGCTTCCTCTTAGTTTTCCTATGTGTAGTGCTATTGAAAACAAGTTGAGGCCTTTCTGAAACTGATTTAATGATTTATTCTTCTTTTAATTAGAAGATCTAGATAAAAGTACATCTTTGAATTGGATAAATCTGATGGTCCTTCCAGTGGCTGTGGAATGAATACTGCTCCTACAAGAAAGCTAAAGAATTTACTGGTTTTCTGGAATGTTTTATTCTTATATTGAATGGGATGTTTTGGATTTTTAGGAAGATTAATAAATATCCATAATCATAATTAAGGATCTATTTCAAAACAAAAAAAAATCACAGGATTTTAATTATTTTAAGATTTAGTCATACATAGTCTGGAAAAGAATTTTAGGATGTTAGGATGATTTGATTTAAAGAAATCTTAATGTTGATGAATACAAACATTCCGATATGCATGTATGGAACATGTGTGTTAAGTGGATGTGTTTCATACCTGCAGTATTTGGGCCTAAATTGTTGGTATATAGTCCATTTACTATACATAGCATAATAATAATGCATTAAACCAAGTGCACCTAGAGACCTAGTTTTTGTTACCAGTTTTTCATTACCAATATCTTTGTGCTTTGAGGTAACATCTTTACTATTCTGATAGTATAGAAGACGTGGGAGCAGAAGAAGGGCACACTTGCCAAAATCTGAGTTCATATGAAAAATATGAATAAAAAATTTGTTTGTGCATTATAAGCAAAGACTAAATATATTCTTTCACAACTAAATGTTCTCCTGCAGTACCCAATGCCACTGCTAGGCCTGCATGTTCCCTAACCCATTTTCTTTTTCTTCCTGAAAGTTTTTCTCTGTACGGATGCTGAGGACATTATAAATTTCCCTATGATTTCTGCACATGTGGAAGCCTGACCAGACTTACTGTTAAACATGCCTGTAAGATGGGAAACAATGTGGGGTAAAAAGAAATACAATATGCTGTGCTGCCCAAGTGAGTGTATTCGGTCAACCTAATGCATCCTGGAAATACCAGATTTACTGAGATTTATTGTGGATACGCAATATATATGACACTAATTGGAAGTTTCTGCTTTACTGCATATATGCTACACAGCATCTATGCTACATTGCACTATACTTCTGGCCAAAAAATCCTTGCAAGAACATGACAGTGCTAGAGAGATTCAGGTTCTAGGTGTTGCATCAAATTTAGCATACCTGAATCTAAACTGTGTTGTTACAAAATAATGACAGAACATAGCTATCCTTTGAGTCTCTTATCCCAGTGCCAGCTCTGGAGGAAAAGGAGAGTATTTTATGTGGATGATTATTTTCTGCCATCTGTATTATGTAAACCAGTTTATGGGAGCTTTTCTGTGTTGTCGCTCTTCCATTACTTTGTTGTGACACCAAGTAGGCTGAATTCAAACTTGCGAAGATTTAAGTTCATTTGGCAGGATTTATTTCTGCTCACACTGAGGGACTCCACCTTTCCCCCATGTCATTTACTGAGCTTTGTGCTACATACTCGTAATGGTTGGAAACAGTCTGGTGGTGTTAATTACACCTATGCACACAACTATGGACTTTTAGGTTAGAAGGAGCATCCTGACAGATTAAATTCTTAGTGTCAAATACGTAAATATTATCTACCTTTTATAGACTTACATGGCTGGTAGTTGCTGGAGACTTGATTGATTTCCTAAGCTGTTCAGAAGTTCTCTAAAAAAGAGAGTGTTATTAAAAAGTAGGCATTAAAGTTTGGGGGCAGTCTATATCCTTACAGTCCAGACTGTCACTAGTACAACCAATGCACAACAGGGAAATGCTGGGCTGTTACTACTCCTCCCTAACTCTGAGTAAGAATCCTTATCCCCCTCCAGCTTAGGGAAATTCACTGGCACAGGAAAGTATCTCTGTGTGCCAGCTTCAGAGAACCTGGCCACAAATACTTAAGCTGAGAAGATTTTCCTCATTCCTTTAAAGGACAGGAACAAAGCTTTCTGCTTTCTCTGCTCTCATAACACGAAGAAAAAATCACCAGAAAAATATTTAAATCAAAGGATTTATTTTAGACTTTCATTATTAAGTACAACTTCTTAAAAGTGAATTTCTATCAAAGAGGGCACTGTGAAAGTCGTAAAATGAGATAAAAATTAAGGAGAGTGAACATGCAAAGGAATGCAGCTTTTAGCATAACAATTAACTACACAATCTACCCTTCCTTTATTCCTTATAGGATAATTCACTGTAACTGAATTAAGGGTGAAACATTCAGTAATAGGCCTTGCTAAGGAAACAGGAGCAGTGTATCAGGATATCCTTTTTCCGCCCCAGAGTACCAATACTTTCAATTTTATATACAACGGAAGTAATTAATTGTAACACA